TATTTTGTATTGTAGCAATATATGCATTTGTCGTCAGTGTAGTATGAATCTACTTTTCTTTGGTCATTAATAAAGAATTCTTTTCCAGAAATTTCTTTATATACTTTAAATAATGAGTTTTCGTATTGTTGAATTGCTTCTTTTAATGTTGAACAGTCTTGTGCTTGGTAATATCTACTTTGTATGTAGTTTGCTGTATTATTCCAATAATTTAAAGATTCATATTGGTATATATTATATTTTGTTATATCTTCTTCATATTCAATTTCTAGTTGGTTGATAGTTTTTTCAATATTTTCTTCACAAATTGGTTTAAGTAAATAATCTAGTTTTAGTTCTATTTCTTTTTTAGTTACTTGTAATGGCTGGTTATATTTTAATTGTTGGGCAATAGTATTATGGTTATATTTTTTGTAATCTTGTTCTATTATTGATTTATATTTGTCGTTTAATTCTTGTAATTCTTTTTTGAGTTCAAGCTTTTGTTTTTTATTCATTTAATGCTTCTGGTTTGGCTTCTTCTTGGTAAGGGTGTTTATTATTTTCGATTAATTTTTGTATTGAATTTCATAAGAATTCTTTTTGTTTTTCAGCAGTTTCGTAGTCTTGAAAATATTTTTCTTTTGTTTGATTAAGTTGTTCAATTTGTTGTTCAAATGTCAGAATATTCTTTTTTTCCAGTTGTTGGTTGTCGTTCATAAATATTTCAATTAATTCTTTTAGATTGTTATAAGTCAAACACTGTCCTACTTGGTAGAGTATTTGTCTTATGTACAGATGGAATTGTATTTCATAAAATTGGTATAATGAGATAGTTTCTTGTTTGAAGTTAAATATTCTTCCAATATCTTTTTCTTCAATTATATTATTGAAATGTTTTGATTTAATTATTGTGTTGATTATTGATATTATTGCTAATTTAAATAGATATATTTGTTGAGGTATTCTGTCATATTCATATGTTATTTCTTCTTTCTTAGAGGGTAATTGCATTTACAGTTGTTTCTCATTCTTTAATCGTTCAAGGTATTCTTTGAATAATTCTTGTTGTTCGTTATCAGTTATTCATTGGGCTTTCTTTTCTACTTGTTGTATGTATTGTTGATAATAATTAAGTTCTAGTTTGTATCCAGGTTTAGGTTCTCTTTTCTTGTGTTGTTTATATTTGTCTTTCAATACAATTG